TACCATTATTCATGTTGGGTAAACAAGTGAGTTTCATTCCAAGGTGGGGAAACAGTTTGAAGTGGAAAGATTGATATAAAAAAAATAGCGTAGGGTAGATGAGCATTGCGAAATATTCTCGTGTCGAAGCTTATATATTGTGAAAAGTGAAACATCCTAACCAAAAGTGAGTTGATAGATATTTTGGGTTTTTGATTGAGAAAGTCAAAGAATGAATCACAATTTTAGATGGATCTTACAGCTATAAACAAAGAGGCTTCGTTAGTGAGAAAGGAGACCGTGAAGCTGTCTGATCTTCCAGTTAATAAGAAGATACCGATAATTAGTGTTGAGGTCGTGAAAACACGATTTGGGAAGTGTATCCTGGCGGAACTGGAAGATTTTGTAGTCTTTCTTCCGCAAAGAGTGACCGACTTGGTGGAAGGTAAAGAGGAAGAATTCACACCAAAGAAATACGCTCTGATGTATAAAGGCCAGAAGGACATTAGGATATCGAAGGACGCCTATAGTTTCGAGTTGGTGAAAAACATTGAGTTAGTTTTCATATAAATACCCAATTCTGCGGAGACTGTAAGAAGTATTTTTGTTTTTGTAAAAAATCGATACAAGTAGGAAGGGGTACGGTATGGGCCACCCCCTCCACTTTTTTCTCTCTCCCCCCTCCACCTCTCACCGCCTGCCTGTCGACCAATCAGGAGCCTCTATTTGAAATAAGTCCCGAGCCCTCGCGATTTGGCGGGAAATTCAAACGATGTTCGTGTAATGGTTCGTTTAAATATGAGAATGCTGGCGTTATCATATGGATCCTCGATTTATGTCGTTGGCGCGAAATTCAAACCCTCCATTAAAGAAAGGATCGCACAAAATGTAGACGTATCTGTTTGGCTATAAGCTACGATGCAGCCATCTGTTGTGAAACAATCATTACCTACAGTACCAACATGACGTGCGCGTTCTATGACACAGAACTAACCATTGGCCGTACTATAGTGCTGCTATCTGTTGTGAAATATCTATCACCCACAGTACCAACACAGTGTTCGCGTTCTGTGGCATAATTTCAACGGCCGTACTATAGATGCTGCCATCTGTTGTGAAAAAATCATTACCTAGAGTACCAACACAGTGTTCTGTGATATAATTTCAACGACTAAGCATTGGCCGTACTACAGAAATCACCCAGCGTTGTGCTATGCTGAAAACGGCAATTTTCCATACAAGATTCAAGATTCTTTGTAGGATGGGGTATTGAAACTCAATAAGGATATCTGTATTTATTATAGTTACAAAGAAAACAGTTGTCGTTCTCGAAATTACCCTATAGTAATATTTATTATCTTGTATAACTATGACGACCGATGATGACAGCTTCAAACGTTTCAGACGGCTTCAAAGTGCTTCAAAGCGTTTCAGATCGCTTCAGATCACACCTATAGAAGTATTCAGAGGTATTCGGAGGTCTTCAGATCACGCCTTCAGATGTCTTCAGATGTCTTCAGATATCTTCAGATGTCTTCAGAGGTCTTCAGATCACGCCTTCAGATGTCTTCAGATGTCTTCAGATGTCTTCAGATGTCTTCAGAGGTCTTCAGATCACGCCTTCAGATGTCTTCAGATGTCTTCAGAGGTCTTCAGAGGTCTTCAGAGGTATTCAGAGGTATTCAGCCGGCTATAAATAGGACTTGGTAGCAGTCAGACTAGTTTAACAGCAACCGACAAAGGAGCACCACCACCTCGCACCAATGGAACCTGAGGAAAGAGAAGAGCAGTCAGCAGAGCAAACAGTAGATAAATATCATTGTACAGATTATGATAATGCTTATGGACCGAAATATGTTGACGGCAGATGGAAACTTGGAAATAAGAAACTACGTTTGTCGATAAAGATATAGTTGTAGATGATGTCAATTTTAAAAGTACTTTGGGTCTTTTGGAATTGATATTTTCCAAAAACCCTAAAATATATACGCCTATGGATCACCATACATATAAACAGATATTGGAAAGCACCAATGTTCATCGTGGCGCACTAGACCGTTTGAGGGGACTTGCTAACAAGGCTAAATTCGATAAAATTATCAGACCCCTCTTCAAAAATAAGACCAGACCTAAACGAAGTGTCAGGGTGAGAGAAGAGCCTGATGTCACATCACAACATAGATCGAGAAGGGAGAAGCAGGCTGAAACGATCTACGATATTCTAGATAATTGGGTGGACACAAATATCTTGGTTGACAGACTAAGATATCTGATTGGAGCAAACGAACACGATGATAATGAAGAAATCTCATTGATTATTAACGGACTCAAGAATGCCAATGTAATATCATAATATTTAAATAAACGATATAAAAAGCTTTCGTCTTTCATTACATTTATACGGCTATGGGGTCCTCTTGAGCTGAACCTGTCGACTTGTCGCTGAGGCCATCAAGTCGAATCGACGAGAAGTCTGCAGAGAAGTTCATTTCTCGTAGTTTAGGGCTGTGCTTCATCAGTCCTCATCTACGGCTGCACCATCAGAAGGCTGAGCTGATGAGTGGGCAACAGGGTAGCGCGACGTCTCCTTATGGCATGGTCTGAAACTGCGGTAGGCTGTGAGACACAAGGTCTCAGTGTGCGTACAACAACAATATTTTTAAAAAGTTCAAGTGAAGAATCCATCACAGGTAATATGTCTCCTGATCAGGATTCGCCTCTCTTTTCATAGACCTCCACAGAAACCCAATGTTTCAATATCGGTTGAATTACGAGGTTCACCTGAACATTTTGAAAATATTTCGAAGAAGTAATAATATACATGACAAAAAAATAATATTGTAGAGTATAAGTAAATGTATTGAATAAAAATATACCATAAGGGGCAGAATCTTCTAATATCGCAGGGGATGATAGCAAGCACAGATTCACCTCGGTGAATGCAGTACCCTGTATCTGATGGACCAAAGAATTACGATTATAAAGTCTGGTCAACTAGTGAGCAAACAGTTCCGTCGAACCAAGGAACATGAGGTCATCACAGTTGATGTAACCAAAAAGTACAAGTTTGAAGCGGAAATTTCTCGAAGATCACACTTCTGTACCTTACGGTTTCAAAAGCGGAAATCATTATAAATATTCTATGAATCACAGCATCGTCATTCCTTTTTTTCTCTTTATCAGACAGTGGTAAACAAATTGCGATTGAAGTTTTTTATCAGCGTTCTGTGTAAAATTCGATTAAAAATATGATTCTGAACCCTGGTCCCCCTGTCGAAATTTTGAGCAAACAGTTCCGTCGAACCAAGGAACATGAGGTCATCACAGTTGATGTAACCAAAAAGTACAAGCCTGTAAGTTTGAAGCGGAAATTTCTCGAAGATCACACTTCTGTACCTTACGGTTTCAAAAAGCGGAAATCATTATAAATATTCTATGAATCATAGCATCGTCATTCCTTTTTTTTCTCTTTATCAGACAGTGGTAAACAAATTGCGATTGAAGTTTTTCATCAGCGTTCTGTGTAAAATTCGATTAAAAATATGATCTTGAATCCTGGTCCTCCGTGCAATATCTTGAGCAAGCAGAATCCCCGATTCGAGAAACAGAATAGTATATCGATAAATGTTTATAAAAGAAGAAGATAGTCACCCCGCAGGTAAATCTCTCAAAAATAAGGTAGAGAAGCATGTCAATCTCCTACTCTTTCAGGGTTAATACTTTGATGAGAAAGATGCTTGCGAAAGGCTTTCAGCCCCCCCCCATCAACTATCAGTATGTGTGGAACAAAGATTTCTCCAAGCTTCTTTCGAAACAGCTGAGCAAAGAAAATGGGCGAAAATACATCTATGGTCACTGTTTACACTATTTTTATTCTGAAGATAAGCTCGATAAACATGTTGAGAATTGCGTGAGGATAAATGAGACCGCAATCAGAATGCCTGAGGAGGGGAACAACATTCTGAAATTCAAGAACCATAAAAACAAGGAGAAGGCCCCATTCATAGTTTATGCTGATTTGGAGTCTGTTTTGGAAAATACTGGAGATGCAAAGAAGCCTCAGCACCACGTTCCAGCTGCCGTTGGTTACTTTATGAAATGTTCCTACGACGATTCTCTCTCTCCTTTTATCGCTCATACCGAGGGCAGGACTGTATGGCGTGGTTCGCTGATGAGCTCAACCAGTTGGCCGAGGATATGTCTACGGTGTTCTTGTCGCTTCAATATAGGTTTTGCAACATCAAACGATAACGAACATCGCGTGAAAGAAGGACTTTGCGAATGTCTGAACCCAATAAGTTCACACCCTACCTAGATCATCCTACATAGAGTTACCCCCAAAGATAATGAGGAAACAGACCTCAGCATCATCGTCAAAAAGTCTTGGGATTGATGATGAGGGATAAATCTACATGGGTTAATATTAAGTGTAAAAATAACGAGGATATTTTTCAATAACATAGGTCCGAAGGAGTTGTGCTAGACCGAGCAAACTCTTGCAGCTGAAGACAATGTTGATAATCTGTATGAAGCCTCTCGAGGGCGAGACTGATGATGTATTGTACACACACCTGCAGGCTGCTTCCTCACTCGATGCTGGTCCGCGTGAAGACTTCTCCTATTTCTTGAATATTGCCGTCGCTCTGAAAATTTCAAGTGAAATTAATTTATGCCAGCATATTTGATTGAGATAATATTAATAGAGTCTTTTATCATTTTTTCAACATTTATCATCACTTCATCTTGAAGAAAACATTCAATTTAAACCGTACGAAAGTTCTGTTTATCACGGTTGATTTTGTAAGGCTGAAAACCACAAATATAATGAGGCAAACCGGAAACTGTTGGAAAAAAGCAAGATATCTTTAACTGAAATAACTTGGGAATATTATTTTATCGTTCAGATACGACACTATATAAAAGCAGCCCCAGACCTTCTGTACAATTCAGATTTGAAAAATCATGTGAGTAGTACACATCTCTCTCGGTTTTTAAAATTATATACTGATATTTTGTTATAGGAGTCGCGAATATGTGAGGAGGGTCGTTTGGCCCTACATCGTGGTAGAGCATGAGCCTAGAAGGCTCATTCTGCTACCCGATGAGGCCGTCACCCCGGCTACGGTTAGGGTGACCATTAACCGGCGGACAGGGGCTAGATCTGTCTCGGTGTAGGTGAAGCAAAAATCAAATTGAAGTAATTTTAATAATAATAAATAATTTCAGGGTGGAAGATGCGAGATATGTTTATGTGTAAGTATACAATATATCCACTTTTCGATAATTTACAATTTATTTTTAGCTATAAAATAATAACAAACCCCAACACCATGGAGGAGGTGTTAATCAACTACCCGTAAGTATACTACATGAACAATATAGACATATTTTACCCCTTCTTTTTTAGTATACATCTGATATCCGAATAGAGAGGAAAAGTGGATTAGGCCTCCTGGGGATACCACTATAAAAAAAAACGCGCCAACAGACTTACCTCAAGGGTGGTGAAGGAAACAGTCTGAATACGCTTGGATACAGCATGGAAGAAGCCTCTCTACTCTTCGTGCAACATAGGGCGTTGTGGTTAGGGGCGATGACACGTTCGCCTGTGAAAAAAGGAACGTAAATTCGTGGAAGAAAAATACAAAAACCCAACATTCTTTCTCTCCCACATACACACATGCTATCAATTCCATACATAAACTGATGACTCATCCCAACTTCATGTTTTTATCAAGAGCACCCCAATTTCCTAATTATCGTCTGTACATAGGGTGTAAGGAATTTTTATGGAAAATAGATTTGAACGAAATGAATACTCCTGCACAGTCGGAAGTACTTAACGATTATCTTCCGCCATCGTTGAAAAACTCGCAGAGGTTTCTCATGTCTTTCAAAATTCTAAAGTTGTTTAGTTACACTCGTAAATAAAACATATTACGCTGTAGACTTTCCAAATTTACAAATTCGCCACAAAATAATATTTTCTCTCTCCACCAATGCACAGATAAACGCTGTGTTTCAAACTAACAGTGGTCAGTCTTATTTACTATACAATAACGATTCCTACATTGAGTTCGATGAAATTGGAAATACAATCAGTCGTGGGCCTCTCAATTATGCTTTTCCAGGGATCCCATCGGGAATAATATCGATGTTTCGATATACAGACAGAAACATATACTTTTTCACCAAAAACACATATTACAAGTACAGCGAGTATACAAGGAAGGTTTTGGAGGCTGGAGAATTTAACTGGACTGTTTTTGGAATACCCTACACTAAGACAGAATTATTATTCCAATTGAAGAGGATATTAGCAAATAGTGTATCTATTTATGAATAAATTATTATTTCTTGAAGGTTTTTATTTAATGGTATGGAAACCTGGTAATATCAGAATGATGAAAAAAAGTTACAGATTGTATTCTGTATTCTGAGGTAAAACGATAACAAATAGTTGTGTGTATGTATTCTCTGGCAGAAAATATTGCGTTCTATTTAGCAGCTGCGGTTTGAAATTGCGGTTTTCAAAACGATAACAAACGATAGCGAGCTCGGCGAAAAGTGTGCTTGTTTTCACAATTTGTGTATTTCAAGACCGATATAGGAAATTCAGAAAATAACATGAGTACTTATGGAAAATACGTGAAAATTCTACAGAGGATGGGGCCTTTGAGAACAGACATTATTTAATGAAAATCGCTATCATTCCTGCGGTTTCGCGGGGGACTATAAATATTGGGAACGCTCCAGCAATCGTTCTCTTTATCTGTTTGTATTGCTGACGATTAGAGCTAGGTGAGTATTGTAGGCGAGTTTGTTTTGATCTTGTCATTTGTTTCGTGGGCGTTTATTTAATTACATCTCGCTCACAACCCCTTTTAATTTCGTCTATATATACCAGTCTCGTGGGATGTTTAGCTTATAGTTTGTTCAAGCATTCTTTGTTACGGTTGTGCGTTTGAAATCTTTGATTTTTTTGATTTTTTGAACATATTTGTGTTTTGAGGTGAATATGGAGAAATTTCTAATCGTGAAGGACATTGTCAAGAAAGCTCGTCGTTTCGGGGTGCAGGGGCGTACTTTAGAGTTTAATATCAAACCTATACCTTCGAACGTCGAACCTGTGAGTTGGGTGAAGGATGCAATCACTCAGATTGTGCAGAAAGGAACCGACGGGTTGGAATCATCCGATTACGTTGGTTTCACCTTCTGCTCGAAAGATTTCGCGAGGGGTCAGGGTTGGATGGCATTCAAAAAAGCCTCTGACGTATCGATGGACGATATTTTTGATAGGATATCGTCCATCTATCAGTCAAACTCGTGCGGCTTAAACACCGAAACATTCTGTCTCGGTGTAACATCTGTTCGAATGCCCTCCGGAAAAGGTAATAATAGAAACAGCGTTCACAATTCTTTTAACGAGGAGTGTAGCAACCGCCGAGGCATTATAACTATCAATAATAAAGACAATTTATGTCTTCCTCGAGCGCTTGTTGTGGCTATGGCATACGCCGACAAAGATCCCAAGCGCAACGATGTGCGCAAAGACTATAGAAAACTGCAAAGTCAACGCACTTTACAGTTATTGGCTGATGCTGGGGTCTCTGTGCCTGCTGGTGAGGGCTGTGGTATACCAGAGCTACAACAATTTCAAAGCTATCTCTCCTCGTACAAAATAACTGTATACCAATACGGGAACAAGGGCCGTAACATTATTTTCAAAGGCAGCGATGCTGGTCTATCGCTCAATTTACTGCATCATGATGGACATTATAATGTAATTAACTCACTTACTGCTGCATTTTGCTGCGGTTATTATTGTGAGGAGTGTCATGTTCCCTACAACCAAAAGAGCAAACATCGTTGTGGTGGTTCTTGTTTTTCATGTCAAGAATCCCCGGCCTGTTCTCCTGATGAGGTGAAAATTCGATGCGAATCTTGCAAAAGATCTTTCCGTGGACCGGTATGCTTCGATAATCATGTTCGCAACGAAATTTGTAGTACGATAATGCGACTCGCTCCGCTCATCTGTTAAACATTCAAACGAGCCACCAGGAGAATAGGTCTAACCTATCGTAGCTAAAAGGTCCATGTCGAAATAGCATCAAACCCAACCAATGATGTCGGCCTACTCTCTAACCTATCCTGTTAGAATTCTCAAGACTCTCGAGGCTGCAGGATATTCTTTTGCCAATCAAACAGTTCTATGGGTTAGTGAGGATATGTATCATGGAGATGGCAGCACGGACTAACGGGGCTAACGGGGCTAACTAGCAGTACGACAAAGACTAACGGGACAAGCTAGTAGAATACCGGGGCTAACGGGGCTAACTAGCAGTACGACAAAGACTAACGGGACAAGCTAGTAGAATACCGGGGCTAACGGGGCTAACTAGCAGTACGACAAAGACTAACGGGACAAGCTAGTAGAATACCGGGGCTAACGGGGCTAACTAGCAGTACGGCAAAGACTAACGGGACAAGCTAGTAGAATACCGGGGCTAACATGGCTTATTGGTGATACTAACAGGGGTAACTAGCACTCCCGCAGGTGTGTCGTCGATGTGCATATCGAATTCGTTCGTCGACCTGAAACACTTATTCACACGTTGAATCATTCGGGTTTCGTAAATCATCCGAGATATATGAGATAAAGAAGTCATGTTCAAAAGAGTCGTTGGGTTAAAGAATTAGTGAGTGTGGCATCACCTGCCAGGCAAGCGGCTTGTTTTTTTGGATAGCATCTAGGAGCATCAGCATAATGATGTTTGCGGCGTTGAACCCTATATGTGGAGCAGTATTCTAACACAGGTCGTATCTGTATTTTGTAGAGTAGCTTTTCGTCTGAAATAAAAATCCTAGTTCTTGTCTTGCAGAGCATTCGTGATGGATCTGTTTGTCATATATACTGTTCGACTTCTTCGATGTTCATAATTATCATTATATTATGGTATCTTTATTCTGGTTGGAAAGAATGGTACTTTGTGATCATTTCATATGGTTGTCGCATTGTTGTGGATGCCCATGACCTCCCACTGGCAACGTTCTGGTGGTTGGTTGGTTGGTTGGTTGGTTGGTTGATTGGTTGGTAGGTTGTTGGTTGATTGTTGGTTGTTGGTTGGTGGTTGGTGGTTGGTTGGTGGTTGGTGGTTGGTTGGTGGTTGGTTGGTTGTTGGTTGTTGGTTGGTTGGTTGTTGGTCGTTGGTTGGTTGTTGTTGGTTGGTTGGTTGATTGGTTGGTTGGTAGGTTGTTGGTTGGTTGTTGGTGGTTGGTTGGTGGTTGGTTGGTGGTTGGTGGTTGGTGGTTGGTGGTTGGTTGGTGATTGGTTGTTGGTTGGTTGTTGGTTGGTTGTTGGTTGGTTGTTGGTTGTTGGTTGGTTGGTTGTTGATCGTTGGTTGGTTGTTGTTGGTTGGTTGGTTGGTTGGTTGGTTGATTGGTGGTTGGTTGTTGGTTGTTGGTTGGTTGTTGGTTGTTGGTTGTTGGTTGTTGGTTGGTTGGTTGTTGGTTGGTTGGTTTTTGGTTGGTTTTTGGTTGGTTGTTGGTTGGTTGTTGGTTGGTTGGTTGATTGTTGTTGGTTGGTTGGTTGGTTGGTTGGTTGGTTGGTTGGTTGTTGGTTGGTTGGTTGATTGTTGGATGGTTGTTGGATGGTTGTAGGTTTGTTGAATGAATGGTTGGTTGGCCGGTTGATTGGTTGGTTGAGGCAATATCGTAAACTATGGATTTTAGTGAAAACTTTATATTTTTACTATGTGATGGATTGGGTAGATAGATTTTACGTGTATTTTCGCAGTTCTGATCGGGCTATTGAGACGACTTGTATGATCTATTGGCTCGCACGACGGGTTTTCCTCATATGGAATAAAATGTATCAAAGTATGAATTTTATTAGGAACTCGGCAATAATAATGAAGACATCTGAATACTTCTGAAGGCATGATCTGAAGACATCTGAATACCTCTGAAGACTTCTGAATACATCTGAATACTTCTAGTGGTGTGATCTGAAGACTTTTGAATCCATCAACTGCCATCCGCTAATCAGCTAGGTTATTCGAATTAGTGGCGTCCACTCTATGGGCATTCATCATATGGTGGTATAGGTTAGTTTTATTCAAGAATTTCCCACATTTCTCACACAATGCCTGGTGTCGATTATAGCGAAATTTTCG